GTTTGTGGTGCAGCGTTGTGCGAGTGATTGTGTGTTGTGGTGCAGGAGTTGGTGAGTGCGTGTGTGTGTTTGTGGTGCAGGGAGTGAATGTTCTGTTTTGTGGTCAGGTGCGCGAGTCGAGTGGGTGTGTTTGTTGTGCAGGGTGTGTGAGTGAGTGTGTTGTTTGTTGGTGCAGGGAGTTAAGTGTGTTGTCTGTTTTGTGGTGCAGGGTTGAAGTGCACAGACTGGGTTGTTTGTGTTGCACGGTGTGTGATTGAGTGTTGTTTGTGGTGCATGATGTGGGAAGGATGTGGTGTGTTTTATGGGTACAGGCGTCTATTGAATTCTTTGTGTTCTGTGGGGCAGCGGTTTGAGAGTGAATAGTGTGTTGTGGCTGCAAGGGTGTGAGAGTGTGTTGCTGTTTGTTGTTTCTCCGTGGTGCAGGCGCTTGAGTTCGAGTGCCTGTGGTTTGTGCTCTCACGGTGTAGAGGAGTGCCGTGTGTCCCCTTGTGGTGCAGGCGTGTGAGAATGATGTGTGTGTGTGCTTGTGGTGCAGTGTAGTGAAGTGAGCTGTGTCGTGTGTGTTTTGGTGCAGAGTGTGAGAGTGAGTGTAATGTGCTGTCTGTGGTCATGGTTGTGTGTTTGTGTGTTTGTGGGCTGCATGTGTGTTCCGCTGTGTGTTTGTCGGGTGCAGGGGTTCGATCGATTTTGTGCGGTTTTGTGGGTGCATGGTGTGTGTGTTCGTTGTTTGTTGGTGCCGTGTGTTGTGGTTCCGTTGTTTTGCGGGTGCAGTGTGTGTGTGTGTGTGTATGTTCTGGGTGCAAGGGTGTGTTGATACCGTGTGTTGTGGGTGCAGGTGTGTTGTGTGTGGGTGTTCATGCCTGGTCGTCTGCCTGTGTGTGTGTTGTGTGTTTGTGGTGCAGCGTTGTGTTTGTGCTGTGTTGTGGTCAGCCCTGTGTGATAGTGTGTTTTGTGTGCACAGTGTGTGAAGCTGAGTGTGTGTGCGTCTGTGTTGTGGTGCAGTGGTGGTTGTGTGTTTGGTGTCTGTGGTGCAGGCTTCATGTCCGCTTTATTCGTCTACTTGTAGTATTGCTGCTTTCATTTAACCCCAGTGCGATAAACATTCGTAATTTAGTCCATCTGTTAATTTTTCAGGGGCGTGTCGTCCCCAGTGTCTGCCACTATCATGACTTCCCATCCTTTGCATTAAGTGAACTTTTCTCTTCTCATTCCGAGAATTTTCCTTAAACATGTGTGAGAGAAGTACTCGAGACGGGTAGAGAAAAGAGGAGTGAGTGACGGCCGAGATAGGAGACGCGCGGCGTGAAGTGAAATAGGAGACGAGAGAGAAGGATAGAGAAGAGCACGAGAGAGAGACGAGAGAAGAGAGAGAGAGAGAGAGAGACGCGAGAGGAGAGGGGGAGAGGGGCGCGAGGAGGGAGGAGAGATGAGAGAGAGAAGAGAGAGAGATAGAAAGAGAGAGAGAGAGAGAGAGAGAGAGAGAGAAGCGAGCAGAGAGAAGAGGAGATGTATAGACAGGGGGAGAGAAAGAGAGAGTGAGTGACGCCGAGATAGGGAGCTTCCCCCCCCCATGATCGCGTGTCCGTAATTCTAATACCGGAGAATGTAATAGATATATCTCTTACGGCCTTCCGCTGGCACTGTGCTGTAACAGATAGCGCGCACGCGCGCACGCACGCACGCACGCACTCACGCATGCGCATGCACAAGCACGTCGTAGCCACGTACACAGACGGTATTATTGTTTGCATGTCTGAGCGCGCGCGCGTGCGTGCGTGCGTGTATTTCAATTAGTGTAGGCTGCGACGAGAATGTAGATACGTGTTGGACACCAAGTTATCAGACAATATGCCGAGACATAATACAGGTTATCCAGTCATCTTTAACCGCCCGCAGCCCTCCCTCCCTACACTCGTCATCGTGAGTCCCATCTTCGCGAAACATCTTACAGAAGGTTAAGGATTTGTTGAGAAGGCGTTCCACATAGATATATGCTCGATCTGACAGCTTGTGGTGAACGCAGTCATCTGCATGTACGTGTGTTTCAGCACTTGATCACAATCTCTCTCGCCTCGTCTCTCTCTCGCNCACTGACACACGTCTGCACGCACACACTGACACACGTCTGCACGCACGCACGCACGCACGCACACACGTCTGCACGCACACACTGACACACGTCTGCACGCACACACTGACACACGTCTGCACGCACGCACGCAACTGACACGTACACAGCGTGTAATGTCAGCAGAAGTTGCAGCGGCCGTCACAGTCGAGTACCCACCCACCCACACACACACCAGTAGTCGGTCTGTCGGTAATAGTAAGCATTAGTGTAGCTGCTGCTGCTGCTGCTGCTGCTGCTGCTGCTGCTAGTGCTGCTCTGCTGCTGCTTGTTGCCGCTGCTACTGCTTGCCTGCTACTTGACTGCTGCTGCTGCTGCTGTTGTATGCTTACTGCTATGTACTTGCCCTACTGCTATGCTACTTGCTTGTGCTGCTCTGCTGCTGCTGCTGTGCTGCTGCTGCTTGCCTAGGTGCTGCTGCTGCTGCCTGTTGTTGCCGCCGCTGGCTACAGCTGCCTGCCTACTGCTGCTTGCTGCTGCTGCTGTTCGTTGCCGCCGCTTGCCCCTGCTTTACAGCTGCCTGCTGACTGCTACTGCTTCCTGCGGCTACTGCTACTTGCTGCTGCCTGCTGCGCTGCTTGCTGCCCTGCTGCTGCTCTGCTGGTTGGTCTGCCGCGGCTACTGCTGCTGTGCTGCGCTGCTGACTGCTGCCTTACTGCTGCTGCTGCTGCTGCTGCTGCTACTGCTGCTTGCTGCTGCCTGCTGCCCTGCCTGATGCTGCTGGCTGCTGCTGCTAAGGCTGACTGCCCAGGGATGTAATCGAAACGACGAATGGAACCGCATTGCGAGACGTAAACTCGTGGCGATATCTGGCCGGCGCGGATCGACGCAAGTGTTAGAAATCGTTCCGTCTTTGTGGAAACAAATTGCAGGAGTAGCGTTAGCGCGAATGAGATCGCACATCAGTGTTCGCGCTTCGCTTCTTCTCCAACGACGCTGCAATGTTGTGCGTCTGGCTGGCGGTTGGCGGCCGTGTGAGAGAGCAACCAGCAGAGGGGGGCGGGAGAGACGGGGGGGGAGGAGATGGGGAGGAGGAGGATGGGGCAGCAGCGTCTGTGAATCGCGTGCTTGCGTTTTTTGTTTGATGGTGTGTGGTTGTGTGTTGTCTGGTGTGTGTGTGTGCGGGCAGTGCGTGCGTGCTGCGTGAGTGCGTGTGCTGTGTGCGATTGGCGTGCGGTCTGTGTGTGTGTGGTTGACTGTGCCCTGTGTTGTTTGTGTGTGTGTGTTTGTGTGTGTGTGTGCGCGTGCGCGTGCGCGAGCGTACCTGCGTCACGTGTGTGTTGTGTTTATTTGTGCAGGGTAGGGAGTGAGAAAGATAAAGAGAGGGGGGAGATAACTTGTGAGAAACTCCTGCGCACGTTCTGTTGCGAGTGCATCTCCTCGCTGGTACTTCGCTGTCTTCCGGATAATGTCCTGCTTGGCACCGTGCCAGCAGCAGCAGCAGCAGCAGCCGCTCCATGCTCTCTCCTTCCTCCCTATATGTATGCTTACATATAGCAGCGTGTGCTGCGAACCGTAACAACGCCCGCCACGCAATCCCGCTGCTGCTGTTACGTTAGCTTACGCTAGCATCTGTGAATGCTGCAGACTAGAGGCCAGCAGACGAAGCCAACGAAGAAAGTAGTATCAGGAGGCGGAGCAGTGGCGTATGGATGTTAGACGAGGGGAAATTTCATTCACGGGGCGAGCTGTGGGAGGAAGGAAGGTAGGGAGCCATGTATCGCGAGCTGAAGACGAGAGTCGCACGCGGGTGCGATGTTAGCGCAGATCTGTGACTCGCGTTAATAGCTGTGAATCCACCCGGGAAGCAAAGGAAGAGCAGTGAGCAGAGCCTGCGTGGTGGTGGCGGACACTGCAGGGATGACGATGGCAGTTGACGCATTCAGAAACGAGTGAACTATAGCGTAGAGAGCGTAAACGTAATACATGGTTTATGAGTTCGCCATGTTTGTTCATAACTGCGCGATGCCACAGGTTACTACCGGCCCGTGCAGCCACTGGTAACTGCAGCCATCTTGGATGGCCAAGAGCAAAGGGAAGCGCCCTCTGTTGGCAAGGCAGACGAACGCGTGAACTGAATCCAAAATGCTCGTCGTGCGCACGATTGTCGTGAATTGAGAGCAATGATAGCGAATCGAATCGAGTAAAATGCTGGGGGAGCCGGCTTCTCCCGGTACAGAGAGATTGTATGTTAATCAATAGTTGTGCGTGCGTTCGTTCGCAGCAGTGGCATGTCTGACAGTGTGTTAGTGTTGGAGCCGCAACATATTGTTGGCAAGAAATGAAAGCAGAAGCAGTTTGAACGTCCTCACTTTTACTCATTTGTATTCTTTTTCTCTTTCTCCCCATCCCTCCTCACTACTCCCTCTCACTCTCTCTTCTCCCTTGTCTCTCTCTCCCTCTTCTCTCATGCCTCTCACTCTCTCTTCTCCCTTGTCTCTCTCTCCCTCTTCTCTCATGCCTCTCACTCTCTCTTCTCCCTTGTCTCTCTCTCCCTCTTCTCTCATGCCTATCTCTATCAATCTATCCATATCTCTCTTGCTTTCTGTCTTATCGGTATATACACACACAAAACTCAAACGATGCAATATTACATTACGCATTTCGTGCGTTGTTGTGATGTCTGCAAGAACCTATGTAATCCACAAACAATGGGTCAGGGGAGGAGCCATGAATACACCTAAGAGAAATCATGGGGGGGAACCATTGGAAAACCATGGGGAAGACGTGGGTGATGATCGTGAATTTGAAACGTCAACTTTAATAAAAATTAATGATTATTAATGAGTTTTTAAACAAATAGCAGCCGCCAAAACCCGTTTTCCGCACACGGCTCTCTCACCTCGACTCTTCTCGTGTGTTTTGCGCGTAGAATTGCGGCATGGTGGCTGTGCGTTCTCCTCACTCCACATATCAGCATCCAGCGTGGACCCCGCGCACGCGGACCGCGCCAACCCAACGCCCAGCCTCCACCCGCAGAACAGCGGCGCCATCTCTACCTCCCCACCAAAGAGCAAGCCGCGGTGCAGCCCGACACAGAGCAAGATGGCGACGCTACAGAACTCGAGCAGCCGGCTAAAAACTAACAGCAAAGCCGGCAGTGCCATGCCTGTGGTCAAGGTAAGGGTTAACGTGCTGGGCAGGGGAGTGACTCGTGTCGCCGCTGTCGTTTCTCTCTCGTGTCGCGACGTAACGTTTCGTACGTTTTTTCCTCCGTATTTGAACGATGCGTTGAGTTTCCGACGCGCTTCGTGACGTGATCGAGCCTGTCCACGAGAATCGTAATCGGTTCCTGAATTCGGGCTAGTTGGTCACGCCATCTGGTGTGAGAAGTGCGAAGGTTGCTTTTTTGAGTCGGTCATATTAGTCGTCAACTTGACGTGTAAACCGACCAGTATGATGTGAACGCGCCCCGGCGAGCAAACGGCCGTTGGAGCAGTGGGAGGAATACTTCTGTAGAGGGTTCACCGATAACATCAACATTATTTATTAGGTGCTGCTAGATAGAAACAGCGTGGTGTCGGCGCCGAGTGACCGTTCACTTCTTTCGCGGCAGGTGGAGCGAATGCCGGAACTGTCGGCACTGACGGCGACGGCGACGACGCCCGGCGGCGCCCCCTTGTCCGACGCCGCGCCGTGCGGGTCACCGTTGCCGCCGGCGACGCCGCCTCCCCCGCGTCCCTCCCCCGCCCTCGCCTCCTCCCTCAGGCACTCCCCCGTCCCCTCCCCCTCGCCCGCAGAGCCTCCGCTACCGAAGCCGCCGCCTCCTCCCTCGCCGCCCGGCACCCCGCCGCTCATGTCCGTCGAGGTGGTGGCGCCACCGTTGTCGGCGGAGATGACGTTTGTGTCGGCGTGTCTCGCGGAGGAGCAGGGGGCGCCACGCTACTCTATGGGGCCACCGCCAGATCCGCTACCGATATCAATGCCCGTAGCAAAGCCGCCGGGGGAGCGGAGGAAGAGCAAGAAGAGAGCATCCGGAGAGAGGAAGATTGTGCCGCTGAAAGGTGCGTCCATGCGCCGGCGCGCGCTGCGAGATTTACTCTTTGGTGGAATACTTAACTTTTTTTTGGAGGAATACTTTATTATACCCTATAGCACATACCTATAAATATCTACAATTACGCATTCACGTTTGTCATAAAACAACATTGAATTTCGAAATCTTCATTTTTGGGCGCTGACATGACACCCGCGACCGTGCTGCCACCCTGAGAAAGTTGCGCATTTGCCAAAATATTTTGCACATTACAGACCGAGGGCTAATCACAAAAGTGAAATTATATTTATACCTAAATGCTATTTAACCGAACGATATTCATTTTAGGACAAATTTATCCATGTTATAACTGAAACTATATGTCGTTTATAAGATTTTTGCAATCCTTCTGCTCTTAAATTAATAAATAAGAAACACCCTTGGTCTGTAGCCTGCAGCCGAAACGTTGCTTTGCGCAACTTTTCAGTGGGTGCGCTGCCAGTGGCGCCACCGTCGTTGTAAGCAACGGTATAGCCGTCAGTTGTAAAACATTTTTTTTTAATATTTCTAATAAATTTTGAACCATAAAACTTTTTATGAAGCATAATTTTAACCTAAATCAACTGAAAATAACCCTAGAACCTAGAGTCACGTATTCCTTTAATATTAACTGGCTTCAATGAAACCTAATTTGCACGGTCGATACCTTGGTAGCTGTTGCGTATCGTGATAAAGTGTGAGCGTAGCAATGCAGATGTGAGTGTGAAACCTGAGATCTGTTGTGCTAGGCATACGTCATGTAGGTGTAGTCTGGCGCCACGCTCTTTCTTGTTCACGTTCGCCGTGTGTTTGCAGATAGGGAATTCGACCCGGAGAAGCACTGCGGTGTGTGCACGGCGGAGACGGGGCAGAGGTGCACACGATCGTTAACCTGCAAGGTAAGACAGCCCAGTCACACCTGCTCAGGTGTCATATTGTCGTTACCTACTAGTGTGTGTATCCTTCTGCAAATCATTTCTAATGTATAGAATGACATGATAAGATGTATATACTGGGATTATATTTATAGCGAGCGTAGTGAGCTCTTTAGACTATACTATGCGATCCAAAAAATGTGAATATCCGTTTCTGGGCAGGAGGTTCCGGCTGAACTGTGCGTGTCTAGATTATCCAATCAATAATACAAATACTACTACTAATAATAATAGAAATTACCAGGTAATAATAATAATTAAAATTACTAAATTTGTACCAATAATAATAATTACAATAAACTAAAAGCATTTTCCACCGCGGAAACGCTCGAACTACTCTCTTGCTCCGTTTCTAATAAAAACAAATCGCGCCACCTATCGGATCTTATCAAGAGCGTATTAAGAAGGAGAGCGTACAACGGTGAAATGCTGACACCATGTTGCAGTATTAGTCGAATTAAGAAACTGCCCGTTTTATTTTGACGATTCTTTGTGGTATTATTGATCAGCTGTCCTACCTTGCTAATATAAAACAAACTGCTTGTCCCTACGATGCCCCTACGCTGAGATAATGAGCGGTTAAAATCTGGTATTTTTGCCGAAAACCGACTCGAGATCACTGTTTGCTGCGATTTGATGTAATCGCATGCCAACAATTCGATTTGTTGTATTATTGTATAATATTGTATATTTGCCGTCCGTGATGCTGCGATCGTTGCATGGCTGTGTTAACGATGTAATCGTGTGACTCGCTGCTCTGCAGACGCATGCGGTGTCCATGCGGCGGGCTGTCCCGGGCAGGTCGAAGGATTTTGACAAGTTGCTGGATGAACATCGGGCAGCTAGGGATGCCTCACTCGGCATCGTTAGGAAGTAAGTGTAGAGTAGTGTCAATAGTAGAAGGCTAACCTATCTCTCTCTACGTATCTCACTCTCTCGCTTTCTTGCTCTCTCTCTCTCTCTCTCTCTCTCTCTCTCTCTCTCTCGTGTAGGTGGTACTTAATGGAGAGGCGGGGGTGTAGCGTGGTAACTTACTGGAGGTGGGGGGTGTAGGTGTAGCTTACTGGAGAGGGTGTAGGTGGTAGGTGGTACTTACTGAGAGAGGTGGTAGGTGTACGGTGGTACTTACTGAGAGGTGGTAGGGTGTAGGCGTGGTACTTACTGGAGAGGTGGGGGGTGTAGGTGTACTTAACTGGAGAGGTGGGGGTGTAAGGTGGTATTACTGGAGAGGTGGGTAGGTGTACGGTGTCACGTTACTGGAGAGGTGGAGGGTGTAGGTGTACTTACTGAGAGGTGGGTAGGTGTAGGTGGTACTACTGGAGAGAGTGGGTAGGTGTAGGTGGTACCTTACTAGAGCAGGTGGGGGTGTAGGTGGTACTTACTGAGGAGGTGGGTGGTGTATGGTGTACTATAACTGGAGAGGTGGGGGTGTATAGGTGGTTACTTCTGGAGAGGTGGTGAGGTGTAGGTGGTGCTTACTGAGATGGGTAGTGCTCGGAGAGGTGGGTGGGGTGTAACTGAAAGTAGGTGTGTTGACTTACTTGAGAGGTGGGGTGCAGCTGGCACTCGCAACGGCTGAGCGGAAGGCAAGTGCGCGCACGCGGTCCAAGCTTTGCGATTGAAGAACGGGAGAATCCGCGAGGTTCATCCGTAACGCCTCCACCGTATGTGTCAAACCTGTAAACACAGGAGCACACGCAGCTGAGAAACAAGCTCGAAACACGAGTCCCTCGTAGAAACCGCGATGGGGCGTGGATGCTGGTTCGGACCGTGGCCTCGACCCCGCCTGACCCCCTCCCTCCCCACTAACACCTCGTCTCCCTCACTCACCGCGATGGGCGTGATGCTGGTTCGGCCGGTGCCATCGACCGCCCGCTGACCCCCCTCGCTCCCCACTAACACCCTCGTCTCCCTCACTCACGCGCGACTGGGGCGTGGATGCTGGTTGGGTCCGTGGCCGTCGATCCGCCGCTGACCCTCCCCCCACCACGCCACCGTCGTCTCCCACACTCATCCCGCGATGGGTGCGTGGATGCCTGTTGGGCCGTGGCCTCGACCCCCTGTACCCCCTCCTCGCCCACTAACCCTGCGTCTCCAACTCACTACGCGCGATGGGGGCGTGGATGCTGGTTGGCCGTGGCTCGACGTCGCCGATGACGCCCACTCCCTCACCACCACCACCTCGTCTCCGCACACTCACCGCGGATGGGCGGGATGCTGTTGGGCCGTGGCCTCGACCCCGCCTGACCGCCCTCCCCTCCCCACTAACTACCTCGGTCTCCGCACACTACCGCCGCGAATGCGGGGCCCGCGGTTGGAAAAAAATAAATGCTCGGTTGGCGCCCCGTGGCCTCGACCCCCCTTGACCCCTCGCCTCCCCCACTAACACCTCGCTCCCACACTCACCGTGATGGGGCGTAGCTGCTGTGTTGGCGCCGTGCTCGACCCCCTGACCCCATCCGCTCCCCACACACCCTCGTCTCGCCTTCACTGCACGCGATGTGGGCGTGGATGCTGTTCGACCGTCCTTGCGACCCCTGACCCTCCTCCCACTCCCCACCACACCCTTCCGTCTCCGCACACTCACCCGCGCATCGGCGCGTGATGCTCGGTTGGCGCGTGCGGCCTCGACCCCGCCTTGACCCCTGCCCTCCGCCACTAACACTCCGTCTCCCACACTCCACCTCGGTGATTGGGCGTGATGCTGGTTTCGGCGCCGTGACCCCGTCATGCTCTCATGCGCCGCCTCGCCCCTGACCCCTCCCTCCCCTAACTGCACGTCGTCTTCCCACACTCACGGCGATGGCACGCGCGCGCGAAGCGTCGCATCGCTGTTCGGCGCCGTGGCACGTGCCACCCCGCCCCGCCCGGATCTCCCTCCCCACTAACACCGTCCGTCTCCCACACTCACGAGCGCGATGGGGCGTGATGCCTGTTGGGGCCGTGGCGTCGACCCCGCGCTGACCCCTCTCCCTCCCCACTAACATCCTCGGTCTGCCCAGCACTCACCCACGCGATGGTGGGCCGTGATGCTGTTGGGGCGCCAGTGCCTGCGACTCCCCTGACCCCTCCTCCGCCACTAAACCTCTCTCCACAACGTCAGCCCGGGCGAATGGCGCGTTCGATGCTGGTCTGGCCCGGGTCCGTGGCCCTCGGGACCCCTCTGGAAGCTCCCTCCGCCATAATCACACGGCAAGGGCCCCCCCTCCCTAACGGGCAGCCGGCCACCCCCATCGTCTCCAACACTCCACGACCGTGTGGGGCGTCGCATCTGTTGGCGCCCTCGGCCCTCCGACCCGCAGAAGCGAGGCCTACCCCCCCTCGCCCCCTCGCCCACTACCACCCGCCTAGTCGTCTCCCCACCACACTCACCCGGCCGATGGGCCGTGATGCGTTGACCGCGCCCGTTGGCCCGCCCAGCGCCGCGCCACTCCCGGCGACCCCACCCCGCTCGCACACGGCATCCCCTACCCGCCCACTAACGTCGAGCACGCTTCGTATCCACACTCACCGTGATGGGAGCGGTGATGCGCCGGGTCTGGGCGCCGCCGGTGCGCGCACCCAGTCCGACCGCGCGCCGCACCACGCGGGGCGCGCTGCCCGATCCGCCCCACTCAAGCACCTCGATCGCGCCCCACGAAATCACCTCGGGCGCAGCGCCCGGGCCGCGATGCGGCCGGTAGATGCTGTTGGGCGTCCGACCAGATGGCGCCTTCGCCTGCCGCCGGCCCACTCGACCACGGCTCACTCCCTCCCCCACTAACACCGCCCCTGCACGTTCTCCCCACACTGCCACGACGGTGCGTCAGCGAGTGTGTCGTAGCCTGAGTGACCGCACTCCGGCGCCCGGCGCCCGGCTCAGCACCCCCCGCGACCTGATCACACCCCGCGCTCCCCTACCACCCGTAAGCACAAGGCACCTCAGTCTACTCCGACCACTGCCACGCGACGCGATGGCGGGCAGTGAGCTGGCCTGCGCATCTCGGCGGCCCGCCACGTCCGCGCACACGATAGGCTCACTCGCGCCCCTCGAACGGCGCACACTCGAGGCTGCACCGGTGAGCTCGAGAAGCAGGGCGACACAGCCCCGCCCCCCCGAGGTAGCCAGTCCTCGTCTCTGCCAACTCGACGCATCGTGGAGTCTGGTTCCTCTGGGCCAGACAGCGCCCGCGATACACGGCCAAGCAACGGTCGAGAGAGGCCACTGCTATTCGCCCGGGGCGAGCCATACCCGCAGCGCGTGACCCACAGGGGCCGCCTCGCCGAACCCAGTCAGTCTCGCACGACCCCTGCGTCTCCACAAGCTTCGTCCCGTGATGGCCCGTCAACGCGAGTCAAACTGATCTGGGCGGCGGTCAGCCGGCCTGACCACGGAGCCCGCCTGACCCTATACGCTTCGGGCGGCCCAGCTGAACGACGGGGCGCCGCGTGCGGCACTCAGTCTCACAAGCGGCCACCCGCATGGGCGTGATACCTGTGCTAATAGCCGCGGACAGCGCTAGTGCCGCTCCGCGAGCCCCCTGACAGCGCGTCCTCCCGACCTAAAGGCGTCTCCTCCCACACTGCACCCCCAGGAAGGCGGACGCATCGGCCGGTGTGAGCTAGCTGTTGGCGTGGCTCCGAGGCCGCCGCCTGAGCCCCTAACGCCCTCCGTCCACGCCACACTCCCAATCCCACCGCCCCCGCCCGCCGCGTCGTGCCACTCCTACAACAGGCTCACCCACGGCGCCCGTCGATGGGCAGCGTCCGAGTCGCCTTATCGGAACCCCACGACGCGCAGTGCCCGCAATCCGACGGACCGGGGCCCACAGCGGGCGGCTCGGACGCAGCCCCGACAGCTCCCTCGCCCATGCGCAACCGCCACCCACGTCGCCGCGCGCAGCGTCCGTCTACAGCCCACTACACACGGTACACGTATGGAACCCTATACGGTAGTCTGAATCTGACGGGCCCGCTCCGCTCGACCGCCCGCGTCACCTCCGCTCACGCCAACACGCCCGCCCAGCGCCCGGTCGCTAGGCGGGGGCGCCCCGCACGACACGGACCACGAAACCGCGCGCGCGGACCCCGGCGGGCTGGCGGACGCGCAACGACGTCGAATCTTTCTCGTCCGCCCGCACACCGATGTCCGAGGCTCGCAGGTGTGTGGCACGTGGTGGTGCGGGTATGCTCAGGTCGTGCGCCCTCGCCCCCCTCCCGCGACACCGCCTCACGTCCCACCTAGACCGACCGCCATCGTCTGCCGCGCCACACCACACCTGGCCGCGTGGACCCCCATGGAACCGGGTATTGCGGGGCGTGGAACTGCTGGGTGTGTGGCGGGCGCCGGTGGCCGGCCCCGGCAGGACGAACGCGCGCCACCCGCTGGGCTCCGCGAGTCCCCAGACCCACGCGCCCGCTCAGAACAGCCGGGCAGCGCTCCTCGCCACATCCGCGCGCGGACCCCCGGCCACCCCCCCGGGCCCGGAGGCAGCCTACTGCACGCGCGACGGGTCCCGCGCACCAGGCAGGGACGGGTGGCCCGGGGCCCGGGCACTGCGCCCGCCCAACGGGGGGCCCGGACCCATCCGAGGTCTCGGCGCCCCGCACCATTACGAACCGGCTGACCCAGAAGGCGCCCACAGGAAACACCGCCTCCACGCCGCACGCTACACGCGGAACTACCGGTAGGCGTGGGCAACTCGGCTGGTCCTAAACTGCGCGCGCGCAAGCCGGGCCGGCTTCCAGCGACCTACGGAAACCCGGCAGCACCGTCAGGCAGGAGAAGAGGACCCCCGGCCCTCGAACCCCAACCACCCCTCCCTCCGCGCGCCACTGAACGGCACCCAGCCACCCGACCGAAGTCCCGACAATACCAAAAACGGCCCGAGGAC